GGATAGTGTAAATTTTTTTTATGTATATTTCCATCAGAACAAAACTATAATTATACCACTTTTATTGTGTAATTGTCTGTTATAAAACACGAATTTAAAGAACTAGTATATAATGCGATTCGTTTAACGCTAGCGAATCAATTTATCTTATTTAAGATTTTATTTTAAAATAACAAGTATTAAAAAAATTTTTTTTTATTTATTACATATTTTATCTTCAATTATCTGTTCGATAATAATTTTTATCAATCCCTTATGCCATATAAGGGTGTCAACTTTTGTGTCAATAATTTAGATATTATTATAATTTTAAACTGTAAGTTAAGTACAGGTATGAATATTTTTATCATTATACATTTTTGGCGGCTTTTCTCCTTCCACCTAGGTATTAAATTGTTATAAATCAATCATAATATATTAAAAACTTAATTAGATAATTTCGTATTTTATTAGGTAGAGAAATACTTATGTTGACATTAAAAAAAAATAAAGTTGACACTCTTCTAAGGCATAAATAATATATAAAATAATATATTAAACCACAAAAATATAAAAAATATATAAATAAAAAAATATATAATAAAAAAAAAAATGCCACAATGAATATTCTCTGTATTTATATTATTTTAAATGAAATTCAACGTTAAAATAATCGACCTGTATAAAACATCTTATTTTGGATATTAATATAATCTAATATTTTACTTCATATTATGAAGCATGAAAATTAGATATTTTATACTTCTTCCCTTATACCTTATAGGGTATCAACTTAATTTTTTTAAATGGCAAAATACATATTTAACTAGTTTATAAAATATAAAATATTTTAATTAAGAAATAGACTGTTTAATAAAAATTTTCGATCTAATAATTTGGATTTTATTAGCATTTTAAAATATAGACTGGAGGTGAAGCGAGTATATTGACATTTTTATCATTAGATTAGTAATGTTTTATCAACTTCTCCCGCCATATCAAAATTGTGAATATCTTCCAAAGCACTCTTTCAAGTGTTGTTGTCTATCAGTACTAATCATATAATTTTCTATTTAATAAGCTAGTTAAATATGTATGATGCTATTAAATAAAAAAAAGTTGACATTCCTACAATACATAAGAGATCAACATTAAAAATACTTTGTTACAGATAAATGGAGATACACATGTAACTAACAAAAGTCAAAAAAATTATTCACATAAAAATTATTATTTTAAGATTGGTCAATTGGCTAGCATTAAAATAATCACCTAGTAGAATGCAAAAAAATATATATATGTTATAATAGTTTTAATGTTTATGCTAAATAAATCATTTACACGTTCAATGAGAAAATTTGTATTGCAAAATATTTTGTTTTGGCCATACAGAAAAGTTAACAACATTTTTTTATAAAAATTTCAATTTTCTACATTAATTAAATAGGCATTTTTATGAGTTTACTCATGAACAATGTCAATTTAAAGATTAGATTAAATTTTTTGATTGATCCAATAAATCATAAGCATAATCTAATCTGTAGATTTTGAATGGACTTTCTAGTAAATTTTTCAAAGACAATTACAACTATTTTATGTATTAAACTTTTTTTCATTGGTTTATATAGAGTAATTCTTTTATCATTGACTTCTACTAAATTCTTCTAAAATAATAGTATTGATTTTTTTTGTTTTTGGTTTTGTTGAGTAATATTTATTTCTTGATTTATAAGTGGTGAAATAATTTTTAGATCCGTCTTTTATCCCTTATAAGTATACCGAATTTATTTTAATTTGGATGCGAAGCTGAGAATGAATTGGTTTTACCATAGTTTTGTTTCTTTTATGCCTGTGAATGAAAGCTCTCAGTTCTCGCTAGACAAATTTGGTTGGTTCATGACTCAAAAGAATACAATTTTAGTCTATATAGATCTAGTAGTGTTGAAAATTAAAAAGTTACTAACTTCTTTTTATAAAGAAGTTTAAATTTTCAACATTTTTTTTCTGAATTTAAAACTGTTATATTTTTTTTTAAAAACACTAATCAAAATCAAGTTTTAATAGAGTATATCGGATTAAATAAGCGTTTTCTTGGTATATATTTTTTGAAAATCCAAAGAAAAACACAACAACAGGAAGGGTATAAAAGAAACGTCTCACGCATGTAAAATTTTTTTCAACTCAATTTTTGATAATGTTCTGGAATGCGTGTCTTACTTAAAACCAACATGAGTTTATAACTATTTAAGTTTACCACAAAATAAAAAAAAAGTTAGTTGACAATTGTTCTTCTATGAAAAATGCGCAATTTCTAAAAAACAAAAAAAATTCATTATATTCAATTTTTGAAAATATTCCAGATTGTCTAAAAATTTTTACGCTATTACAAATAATAATTTTTAAGAGTATTTTATGGTAAAAATAGGAATACTTTCCAAAAATAATTTTTCTATTTGATTTAATGATGTACTATTTCAAAAAAATATTCGCACTGAAGCATTTTTTAATGATCATCATGTATTTACTATCAGATATCGTCTAAATTTTCTGAATTATGCCGCGTCCCCACTGTTCCGAGTTTTTTCAAATAAAAATATACATATTTAAATTGTTTATACAAAAGAAAATGATCCAACTAGAAAAATGGCTGATTGATAAAAACTTTTGAACTAGTATAACAGAATTTGCTTACATTTTTAAATGTATATTGGAGGTGAGGCTTGGTAGTGTTATTTTTATTCAACTAGGTATAAAAGTATTCATAAATTCTACTGTTGAAAAATTGTTATCGACCAGTCATTTTCTTAGTTGAATCATTTTCTATTATATAAGCTAGTTAAATATGTATGATCTCATTTAAAATTATTAAATAGGTACTCTTAAAAAGGTCAATGAAAAGGACATAAAAAGTATAAAACCATTTAAAATTCTAGAAATAAATACTATTTAAATAAGCTAAATTAAAAAATTGTAAAATTATTATTGTTTTAGAAAAAATCTAGTGGTTAACGTCAACATTTAAGCATGCGGTGTTTTTAAACGTAGATTAAGTGTTATACATAATTAAGCCATAGTTTATTGATACATACTTCATTTAAAACTATATTCAATGTTAAATATATTAAACACTGAAGTAGGTATACTAAATGTCACATATATTTGATAGGTAATTTTATGAAATAAAAGTACGGAAACCTATGCCAGTAAAATTATATAGGTATCTCTTTTATAGAGTTAAAATAAAAAATAACTACTAAATCATAATGTTTGTTTTATAAAATTTAAAAACCATTTTAATAAATATTGTGTCAGCTCCCATTTTAGCTATATTAAATCATATATATTCTTAATAAAATCTAACTTTTAGAAAACTTTGTTTATAAATGTTATAAAAGTAATACTGTTATAAAGAAAAAAGATACAACTATTCAAAAGTTTTATTATATTTTAAATTACATAAACCTAAAAAATTATGTGAATCGAAAACATTTAAAATTTTTCATTCAATATTAATTATAATATCTAATTTTCATGCTTCATAATATAAAGTCAAATATTAAATTATATTATTATCCAAAATAATACATTTTATACGGGTCGATTCTTTTAACGTTAGCCATTCAATTTCATTTTAAATAATAACAATACAGAGAATTTTCATTCTGGTTTTAGCTGTGAAGCTTAGAAGGTATTGGTTGTATTGTGATGTGTTTTTTTTTTTTATGTCAGTTACCACCTTTTCTCAACTCTCACCGAACCGATACCTTTCAACGATACATCAAAAGATCACAAATCGTGTTTAGTTGAAGACATTACCCTCAAAAATTGAAAAAAATTCCCTCGTTCCCCGTAAATGGGAAAAATCTTCAAAAAAATAACAAATTTAAAAACTGCCATAACTTTTTCAAAAATGAACAAATCAATATAATTTTTTTTTATAGATGCTTGATGTCTTTACCTATCATTTGATATATTTTTTTTATAAATTTAACCCTTTACCTGTCCACACTGGGGATTTAAAATGAAAACTTTTTCACAAAAAATTAAATTTCTCAACTTAACTTTTGAAAGTGTTCCGGAAAGTCTGACATTTATATATATATATATATATTATATTAAAGCTAATGTAATGTACTTTATTATGGAAAAAAAAATTTTGGACTTCACAATGAAAATGGCTATCAAATGCTATTTTTGTGTGAAAATTTTCGATTTTATTTTTTATATTTTTAACATTATAATGCTATAACTTATTGAAAAGTTTTTTTCATTCGACATACTTTATTTTAATCAAGATATTAATAAGGAAATAGCAGATCATGTAGCTTTTGAAATAATCCACTAACTTTTTAAAATTAAACACTATCTAAAGATTTGCATCGAAGCGTTTTTTTTTTATAGTGATTTTAATCACTGTCAGATATCATTATACTTGATCCAACTATGCCACGTCACCACTGTGCCGCGATCCCCTATGCTGGATTTTTTTTATATTGGTTATATTGGTTAATATTTACTAGTTTCATATATTATTTTATATATTTCTTATGCCTTAAGAGAGTGTCAACTTTATTTTTTTTTTTAAGTCTACATAAATATTTCACTACCTAAAAATAAAATAGAAAATGATCTAATTAAGAATTATGTAGACTATGATTGATTTATAACAATTTAATAACTAGGTGGGATGAGAAGTGCCGCCAAAAAATGTATAGTGATAAAAATATTCATACCCGTACTTCACTTTCAGTTTATATTTTAAAGTGATAATTAAATCCAAAGTATCAGCACAAAAGTTGACACCCTTACATGATATAAAGGTTGGACCTAAAAAGTAATTTATTTAGGTTGATAAATCAAGATGTATATGAAACTAAAAATGGCAAAAGGAAATTTGTCCATATAGTTATTAATTTGAGGGTAATTAAGTGACTAACATTAAAAAATAATCACCGTATACTTTTTAATTGTATTGGTAATAAATTATAACTTGTTATTAGTTGTGAAGTAACAATACTCACTTCTTGTATCAAGATATGTATCGGCAACGAGTTTAACGAAGGGGTTGTCAACGTAGCCGTGTAAGTATTCAGTGTTCCACGTTTTCTTGGCTATTATATGTATACCAGCTTGAACAAAAACGTCAGCAATGGTAGCTGCTATTTTTCCAAAATGCGTGCCTTCAGCACTCGAGTACAAAAATGTGACCTGTCAAATAAATGATACAAAATACACTAAATTACCACAATGGTTGTTAATAAACGACAACTGGTAACAAAGAACACGTACAATGTATTTCGAACTTTTAAATTAAAATTTAATAGTTACTGTTTAATTGCAAATGTATTTATTTTTTATGAGTTTAAAAGTAATTAAAGACGTTTACGTAGGTGTATTATATCGATGGTAAATAATCGTTTTTTCACTAAAATTAGCCCCTCTCTCTTTATTTTGCTAGCTATTTCTTAAATAAAACAATAGCTACATGATGTTTAGAAAAAAGGAATCATGTATTTAGCCTATAAATCTCTTAGAAACACATTCAGTTCAATTTTCTACTTAAAATAAAAACATTTTCCATTTGCCAACATAGAAAAAATTCATGTTACTAAACAAATTTTAGTCGAGACACTTTAAACTCATCCAACGTTTAACATATGTACATGTATCTTTGTTGGGAAATTTATTACCCTATGAACATATGGTATGGGGTTTGAGAAGGAACATATTTAGGACAAGAAAAACTCGAAATTCTTTTCGTAATTGCTGAAGTGTGGTTTTAGAGTGGTAAGCTTAAGGCATTTTAAAGTTGGCTGGGTGTCGTACAAAGGCGGTTTATTGTGTGCCAAATAACTGTTGACGTTGATTTATTTGTTCACCCACCTGAGTCCAGTTGAATGCCTTAAGTACAGCAGCGACAGACTTTGATATTTGGGTATCTGGAGGCCTTGTACGGGCAAACGTAGGGTATAATGTCTTGTCTGAAGTATCCGAGGCCATGCAATACTGAAAAATTTTATTTAAAATTATTAAACGGTTATAATATTTAAAAAAAATTGAATATATTATTTTTCCAATATAAAGTTTTTATTTCCCAGAGTAATAATAATTAATAAACAATATTTACATAACATGACACTTGAAAACATAACAATAGAATATAGTAATTCACAAAAAATGTTTTATAATATCAGTTATTAATTATAAGTTATCTTTTAAGTATCTATTTATCAAGGAACAGAGCAATTCCAATAAATAACATTTTTGGATAATATACTACTTTCATTACGAAAATTTACAGAATAAACTACCAAAGTTAACTTGAAAGTTTTTCAAAAAAATATATATTTTTATGCCTACTTTAATTAAAAATACAATAATTGTATTTTTAATTAAAGTAGGCATAAAAATATATATTTTTTTGAAAAACTTAATTGAAATTACATTAATTATTAATGTATCTAATATTCAAATATCATTTATAAAAAATTAACTAAAAAAGCAATTTATAAGTGAAAAATACGTTAACACGAGAGTAATTATTTTATCGTTGATAAATAATTATAATTTATCGAATAATATATATATATATTATTAGGACATTTTTTTATTTCTTTTAATTTCATGTTTTTTTTTAATTTATCAATTATGAAGTACTTTTCATGTTCATCCCTTATGCATTATAAAGGATAAATTTCCCGATGGCTTAATTTATTTATATATATATATCTTTAATGAATTTACCCTCTTATTTATAGAAATCTCTTCAGTTGTTTGTACTTTCTACTAAAATGACTAACAAGGTGTTGGCGGTGTCTTCTAATTAAAAATTAGCGCGCTTACCATACTGATCCCGTCTACTCCTTTCCCGTCCATCACCCTGTTGTCAAACGGCAGTAACCGCCTTATCAATAGCCATGTAGACTGATAGCCGTCCGGTCGGCGACCTTGTGTATTATAGTTGATAGAAAGAATTGTACAAATTATTTTTTAAAAGTATTTTTTTTATATTTTTTTGTGATAATTAGTAAATGTTATTCATTTTTTGTTACATAAATGGCACATTGTTCATTAAATAATTTGATAAATGTATAATTCTTAAACATTGCCGGAATATCATAGTTATACCTGCAAGTAGTACTATACGTTAAGATTAATTTCTATAGCTATCCATACACTTTGACATATAAAAAATTCACTACTATTTTTTTAATTTTGCTATAACTTTTTGAAAATATACTGATTGTAATGCAGTTTTTTTCCGGTATGATTTTTGCGAAATTTAATTGATTTCTCATCGAGCGTTTTTCATGATAGTGATGTAAACCATTTGCAGATATCATTTACACTTCTCCCAACTATGCCGCATTTCTATTATACTGGATTTTTAATATTTTTTGGTTTAATAAAAAATGAATACATTTGTTGGAATTTTTGTAAATATATGGTATTTTAACATTATTATTCTATGTATTGAAAACATATCACTTAACTCTTTTAGAAAAACGAAGAAAAGTTATAAAAGCGCTTTCAGCAAATTTGAGTCATGCCTGTTAGTTTTCATAAATTTAATCGCCTAATTTTACATGGGACAATTTGTTATTAAATAAATAGCTTTAAAATATTATGTTATATTGATTATGTTTTATAAATCGTTTACTTCAATGAAACGAAGAATACCAACTTTTGCATTTTTATTATTGTTAATTATGGTGTATATAACGTTTTGAAATTCATGTAATAACAAAAAATAAACGGATCTCAAAATAATGAACCTAAAGATCAAAAGTAATCTATCAATTATTTTTATTGACCCAAGAGTTTCTTGTGTTAATAAAATGTATAAATTCATAAAACTCTTTTCAAATATTCTGCGTATTTTATTCAAATATTTGCTTATATAAAATAATAATTGTGAAAAGGCTAATTGTATAAATACAGATGTACATAAATCTAACTACTTTTTGTTAGTTTATTAAATTTACTATATTAATCATGTTTATTGCTTACATGTTTATGTTTACATTCCATATTTTTTAATAGAAATATTTTCAATTAAATTATCATAATTAAGTTAAAAATGAATATTTATGATAACTATCAATGATATACTATAAGTCGTATTTACATTTATTAGCACTAAGATGTTATTCTTTTCATTGTCAATGTTTGTACGTTGAATATGAAAAAAACATTAACGTAAACGTTAATTTAAAAAATTGTCATATATTTCATTATGTAAACAAGTCTCAATATTAATGAAATACGTAGTCCAATTATAACTAACAGTTTCCGACAAAAATCAATATTGAGAAGTCATTGAATTCTTTTAGACGTGTTTAAAATGAATGCAATTACTTTAAAAAACACTTTTTAGAAGTTAACATCCTTTGATATTAAAACAAAATTAATTTTTTTATAATAAATTTATATAAAAATTGAAATTTCATATAAAATGATCATATAACTTTTATTTGACACAAATTAAACCATTTTTCCAATAAATTGATGATTAATTACAATGTAAAATACTAATAATTACTAGTTCTTTTTTTCAAATTAAATTGTGTTAATATTGATACGAATAGAATGAAATTTAAAAATCAAGAAATTATATTCGGTTTTGTATATTTTCATAATACTTCTCGAAGTTCTTTAACTTGAGTATTCAATTTAAAACATTATCTAATAATAGTCTTATTGAAAAAAAGCAACTGCTCGTAAGATTTTCATAACCATAAATGCCTATCACAAAATCGTATCATGTCTACTGTCTGTGTGTTTTTCATAAATGGATACAATTACAATCCTACCGATTTCTAAATTGCTAGTTTTAATGAATATTTATTAGTTATACGACAGTTCCCTGGGGCAGTACATATTATCTTAACCTCGTTAACTAAAAAACAGTTTAATCCTTTATATGACAGTTGAATACGTTAACTCACCACATTAGATCATACTAATATAAAACTTGGTACTTATGTACCAAATAATTAAAATGTGTTGTTTCGTAATTTTTAAAATACCGTTAATATTTTATAAACTACTTAACATTTTTAATGGTTAAAAATGAAGGGTAATGATCTTTTACCCATTAAAAAATGTGACATTTTTTTCGCAAAAAAGGAAGAAAATATTTTTATTTTCCAGTACATTAAATTTGACCGCATAATACCAAAAGCAATTTCAAAAACAAATTTTTTTAATCGTATGCTAAAAAATTCGAGTACTAACGGTTATTGAAGTGAACAATTAAAATTGATGTTTGTAATTAAACCGCATCATATTCCAAAAATCATTTATATCGTTGATATATACTGTCAGACATAATTACCAAGAATCTTGAAAATATATTCTTTTTTCAAACACTAATATTATAAAAAATATTTGAACAACGCACAACTACTATTATATTTACTCTTTTTTGTGTATGACTATTTTTATTTTATATTTAGATTACTTTTTGTCTACAGAATTTTATCTTTCAATTAGAAAGCTTTTAATTGCTATTTCTTTTCATTTCTTTTAGTGTTTATTAATTAAAATCATACTAATTGTTTTCTATACATTTTTTTATCAATAAATAATAAAAACGTATTACGTTTAACAATTTATTTTTTGATAAAAATAATCTTAAACGTACTAGTCTAAATTCAAATTAAAAGTTTTAGGAATTATTATTTTAGTATGAAATCAAGTTTTATTAACTTGAATAATACTAATATTTCAACAAAATTTGTATGAAAATTGAATGGTTGAAAATTTTTCTAGGTTTTTAGTAGCATATATTACAAATGAACTAGTAATTAGCTAAGTATTTAATATTAAAAACATAATAACTTATTTTTATAAAGCAATGTGTAATAACTACATGTAAAACGTAAAAAATCTATAATTTTTAAAATCGAAGTATTTTGAAATAGTTAATTTAACAGCTATTTTTTGCTACTTAAATTAGATAAATTTAAATAACTATGTTTCAAAATATTTTGTATATCTACAACAATAAAATTGGTTTTTGCTTCTCAAATTAAAGTTTACTTAATGAAATTTAACCATTAAAAACCGAAATAGATTAATATTTTTTTCTAATGAAAACTTTAAATAATTATAAAGTTTCCAATTCGGTACTATACTAATCAATTTTTATAAAAACAAAATGTTAAATGAATAGAATTAAAAAGTTATAAATAAACCAGCGAAAAAAATAGTATTAACTCATAGCATTTTTATATAAATAAATTATAGTTGACTAGTACAAATAATTTAAACGTATCTTGAGTAGTATCGGCGAAATAAAATGGATTATTCTGCAGTAGCATCGACGAAATTACTATAAGATAACAGCCAAAACTAAGTAAAAAAACCTAACAATCGCGTCTAATAGAAAGGCAACAGCAATTTAAGATAAAGAGATAATGAAATTTCCATTGGGAATTTATGGATAGTGTTTTAATCTAATTTAAAATTAAATTTGAAAATGTAATCACAAATTTTCTTGGACAGCGTCTTTCATACCTTCATTATATACAATAACATGTGTAGATCTCTATAACCCATTAAATCTTTAAACAAAAACGATAAAATATATGTAAGAATATTGTAATATTTACAAAGTGTTTACTGAGCATTCCATTTATTTCTTGTAATTATTTTTAAACTAAAAGTATAAATCATCATTGCGCATATTCATGAATTACAATTTGTATTTGTATACTTCAGTATAAGTTTTGCTGACATAATTTCTATGCACAACTAATGTAATTAATTTAAACTACTTCAAACAACTTTAAATCAAAAATATTTATAGTAATTATACTCTCTCGAGATTTCTAGAAAAAAGTTTTTACTTTATTACGAATGTTAAGCACTACAATCAATTGGCTTACAACTTAAAAAACAGCAATCATATAATTGTTGATTTAATGACGTATGTTACTGAAGAATTGTACTCTGTCAGTACCATTTGTTTAGATTTATTTATTATTTAAGTTCATAAATTAAAATACACGTGGCATTTAAATATTCTACCATAAAACACGACATTGATTAACTTGGTTCAATACATCTAAACATAATTTCAGATGAATTTTAATTAAAAAGTAAATTTAACGTTTATTTAAGTCATAATGTATGCTTCATAAAAGAAATTTGTCACCATGTACGATTCGTGAGAACCATTCAATCATTAATAATTACAAGTCAACGTATAACTAAGCTACTAAAACGACTTACTCAATTAGTTTCTTCGATAAACAGTAGTATTAATCGAATAGACTTCTATACTTTTCCCGTTAAACTGATGGCCAAATGCCAAACGCGTTAAGTGATAGGACACGTTGGCGGCATCTCCTGACGTAAAAAACCTACGACACACGGCATAGAGATCGGTTTGCTATAAACAATGTAAATGTATTCAATAATATGTACAAAAATCACCGACCCAAAACAATAACTATATTGATTTTCAAATAAGTTAATAAAATATTTGGTGTGAGAGAGAACCATGTTTAGAGTTGTCATTTGTAAATCGCATTATTAACTCGAACTAGAAATTTACTACGAATGTGATCTGATTAATTTTTTTTAAAGAATATCTACCGCAATAGGTTTGATCAACAAGATGTAAAAAAAGAAATGCTCAAATTAAAATTATATTAGTGCCAATGTGGATGCTATTAGTGCTAAAAATAAATTATCACAGCTACTTGCTGCAGACTCCGCACACACACACACGCTGTTCTGTGATAATTATTCATATTTCCATTATATAATTATTTATTTTCTCGTGTACACATAGTGCGTCATTTTGAAACGCGTCGTTTGTGACTGTACTGTTACGATAAGAATACTGAAATTAATATTTTGTCTCATTAAATAGGTCGAAAACCATTAATTAAGATTTTCAAGAGATTTTTAGCATTACTTAAATAATGTGATATTACTCTTGAGAAATTTGAAAGATAAAGTTTTACTAAAAGAAAATCTCGTTAATACCCGACAAATCAAAATTACCTCTAAAGCTTTAAAAATGTAATTTTATAAATTGCCAAAAATATTAAAAATGTAAGAAAAAAATATTTAATAAGCTAGTGTTAAGTTTAAGTACAAACAAGTCGTATAATTAAAATTAAGCACTTTGCATAAAATTCTTTCTTTTGACTATTTGTACACAAAACTAAAAAAAATATAGAATTACAAGAAATTTCATTGACATAGTTTCTGATTTAAATTACCACAGTTAGAATCTACTTAACTACAACTGTAAAGAGAATTTAAAGCTTCGGGGCTTTTTTATGTAATGGATACATAAATTTGCATGTAACACAATATAACTGTGATATTACTCGAAAGTTATTATAAAAAATTATATCTACACGACCAGATTAAAAAATTGCAGTTGCATAAATTATTATTTAAATATAACAACTTATATGACTCTAAAAAACATTCAAGTAATTGCTCATTTTGATTGGATTAAAGAACTTTGTAGTCTGTAAAAATTGTATTAAACAATTTTATAATAATTTATTTAAATAACGACCGCATTCATAAAACTAGTAATATAGATTTTAGTAGCATTTTTTTGCTCTATGTCTTTAAATTTCATAAAATTACATTAAAATTTTCTAAATGACAAAATATATGAAAAAAGTAACAGTTTATTTAGAAACTAAAATCATATTAAATACAAGATATAATCTGATTTTTAAAACATTTATCTATAAAGCAATATTTAAAATAAAATAGACACGAGATTTAGTACTTTTCAATAAAAAATGTGTTAATCAAATAAAAGTTTGTGTTCACAAATTAATTAACTTTTCAAATAATGCAAGTATGACGTGACATATCAATAATGAACAACAGCCTTCATGATCATTAAACTATAATTTATAACATTCGCCAGTACTGATGTGTATTACATAACTCAGTATTTCTGCACAAACAATGGGATTTTAAAAGATAAAAGTTTTCTTAAAAAATAAATAAATGGTTAGCCACAAAACGGCAACAGTGGTTAAGAACTTAAGCCATTTTTCGAGACCCGCAGATTTACGATGTCGCATGTCTTGAGTCTCAATGGTTTAACTTAAAGTCGTATATTCAATGAAACGTATACGACAACCGACCAAGAAAATCATTTAAGACTTTGTAGAGTATACATTAATAATGAACTTAATAAAATAGGTAAGCGCATTATATCCAAAGAGAATAGTTAAAAAGTAAGTGTATAATTTATATGTAAAAGAATTATATCAAGTATAAAGTAAATAATTTTATAAGATTTTTATAGTTTTTTACCATACTTGAAATAAATTCAGTCTATTTTAAAGAAATAGATGAATTTTTTTCAAAACGATTGCCCAGATAATTCCTTATAAAACTTAAAATATTTTTAAATTAAAACAAATAAATTTTTTTGCTTAAAATATTAGATTAACTTAAGATTACCGTTTATTGCATAAAGTAATTTTTTGAGGTAGTGAACCGAGTGTCAAGCACAGGCAACTTTACAAATGTTTACTTCGTGTTTGAATTAAAATCATAATTCTGAATAATTTATCGAGGTGNTTTGAGGTAGTGAACCGAGTGTCAAGCACAGGCAACTTTACAAATGTTTACTTCGTGTTTGAATTAAAATCATAATTCTGAATGATTTATCAAGGTGGTATCCAAACTTATTTTTAATTTGTTAACGTGGTTAAAATGTGATACGTGTTTGTTTAGATTTTATGTTAGAATTTTAAGTTGTCATTCGACAACAACCATTAGGTAATATTTTTTAGTGTGATATTTTCCAATACTAGTAAAGATGCCACGCTAAAGTACCATGCTTTGTAAATATTTTACATTAGTTTATGACTATAAAATTCTATTCAATCGTAATAGAACACGGTTTTTTTATATTTTGTTAAATAATATTGGAGAAATGTCGTGTGTTACAAAAATAACTTAGTTCTTTGCTTACACAAAGCTAAAATATTCAAACAGACTTACATAAGAAATCATCGGCAAATTAAAAGCAGCTGCCATTCTCGCTTCGTGAATACATGTCTCTTGTGGCCCAATAAAAGCTGATATGTTTTTTTTCCAAAGCTCTGCTGTTTCAAGAATACTAGACGATTCTTCTCCATATGTTTCTGCTACCAAAAATCTTAACCTATGACCTACAAAAATGAATAAAATAATATTACTATAAGAAACCAAATAATTTTAGTGTTTGTTAATAATAAAAAACTTAATTATGAATTCATTGCTGAAAACATCTTTAATTTGAAATAGTGTCGGCTATAAAGCTACCGGAGTAAGAATATTAATGGAATAAAAGAGGGTTGTCAAAATTATTATTTTTTTTTAACATCCATTACATTTTTTATAAATCACTGTAATGTACTTGCCACTTCAGTCGTATCTCAAGATATTAATTCCAAGAAATGACTTTATTTAAACTTTGGTAGGCGTAAAATATTTTCTTTTTCTAAGATAAGTTACTGTACAACTTTACAAAAGTTACATTTAAAACAGGTCTATGCCTCAAAAATGGATCACATAAAAATATCTATAAAACCTCGTGGCTCAGAAGTTATGAAAACTATTATTTTATCAAGTAAAATAATCTAACCGTATAAATCTTAGCAGAATTTTTTCCGTTTACATAAATGCGTACGTAATTTATTCAAAGTCTACTACTTTTGAAATTTCATTATTGAAGTTACACAATTTTGAATATTATTATAACTTTTTTTTTTAAATATTACTAACACCTTTCACGTAAATAAATTGTTCTAAAGAACAATATAAGTAGAGGTCTACTCCATTGCTTATAATTTGCGAGGTTGTCGCTAAAAGCAAAATAGAATATTTTACATTATTATGATGAACAAATAGAATTTATGTTGCCTGTGGGTTGTGTCACATAACCTTTAAAATGCGACCTCACTTTTTGCTTTTAAATTGATTACAATTTATGATATGTATAAAAAAACAATTTTCATAATTTACATAAAAAGTTACATAATGTGCATAGATCAGCTTATTACCCTTTTCTTTAAATATTCCTGCATTTATCTCTTCTGTAGCTAGAGATATTGCTCCACTTATCATAAGACCGGGTTTTGAGTAACCGATGTCACCCTGTCTTCTCTTAGAACCTGTCAAATATCCCAACACAAATTCATCCGTTCTTGCATCCAAAACCAACTGCAAACAAACCAATGCAATCGGCCAAAACATGACCTGCTGAAAAATTCAGCCGCCGACAAACCTAAGAATAAAATGCACAATGATTTAAAAAAAACCTATGATTTATAATAATGCGTTTTAAAAAACATGAATTATATACACTATACAATAATTTTATTTACTTTATGAATTGTGCTTGTTTGCATATCTAATTTATTTTTTATATTGAAATTCGCATTTCAATCATTTTTAATTAATATTAACTCTGTTTTACGTTTATTAACAGATTTGAGAACATTTTTTTATTTCGTTGAAATGTAATTAGGAAGAACTATTTTGAAATAGAATTTACCCGATTGTTACTTAGAAAATAAAACGATCGCGGATAAATAAACAAAATTAAATATTTGTGCTTAAAATATTTGAATTTGAAATTCTTAACTCTAACAAGAATAATTACTCTTATGAAAAATATCCCTATTATCTATAAAGCTAAGAAAACCGTACGAAATTTACTGTCAAAATGTTTGCGATCGGAATAACAATAAATTTAAATTGTTGTGCATATATGACAAGATGTTCCTCAAAGCGAACGCTGTACATTATAATATTTATTCGTTGTATGGTAAAAATGTAAGTTAAGTAAAAAAATAAATATGTTTCACAATAAAATAATGAATAAATTCTTCAATATTGATAAATGGTTGGAATAGTAGAATTTATAGAACGTTATCCGGCTAAGAATATATAATTCACAAGTATATTGATAATAAGAAATTCAACGGTGCGATTTACACATCTTCAATTTCATTTTACTATTTGACAAGTTACACATAAGCGACCAAAAAGTTTTTAAATAATGCATAAATACATATATCATAGTATTATGTACATAAATTATCAACTCGTGTAACATATTTAATTGAGTGATTTAAATTTCACAGAAACTATTTATAATGAATAATAGATCATAAAAAATCGACAATGTACGATTAAATTACGCTATAAGTTTTAATAAATCATGAAAACAAAATAATTTTGCTAATATTTTTACAACGGCATTGTTTAAAAAATGTATAACTTATGTTAAAAGTAGCTCTTAGATTGTTTTATGAAAATGAACACCTTTAGATTAATATTATTTTAGAACTATATAGCGTATGACATATGAGGTTTTACTATATTTTCAGCATTAAGGTAACTCAACATTACTTGTGCAGTAATGAAGTCTATATTTTTACAGTTTTCAATCTGAAACGATTTAACGCTATCACAGTAACGCTAATCTTCTCATTCTGTCATTGAAGTTTCATAAATAACTTCTCATTTCGTGCCTTTCAAAAGTACAAGTATGTATATAAATATTTATGTCATATATTCACTCACTAGAGATGAAAACACATAAGATATAACTACAAAGCTTCCCTCGTCGTTTATCACCGAGTTCATAAGTAAGAGAACTGAAGTGGTGTCATAATTTAATCCCTTAAACAACGAAAGCATCTTCTTCGGAGATATTGTTTTAACAATTATTGTGTGATGCTACCGATAAAAATGTGCACGTACCATGCGGATTAGGACAACCGGAAGAATCTATTATGACGGAGATATTTCTATGGATTTAGAGCTATTCGTTGTCGGAACACAATGTGTACCTAACGTTACCCCATCGCTTAAAGGAATTTAATATCAATCGACACTCGTCCCCTAATTTATTGGCCGATCAAATTCCAAAGGGATGTACTCTCGCCCGCCCAGTCGTTAATAATAAAAGTACATGTTATGGCAAAGTGGTAACGATAACTGATAGCCACTGGAAAGGTTTTGTCATCTGCTAATCTTTAGGGATGAATTATGGCCTGTGTAATATAAACGGAACTTTTCAAAACAATGTATTTTACTAGGTTTTTCCTTATACCGTACAAGCACAATTTTCCGTTTTTAATGAAAATAACGGACTAGTTAATGTTACGGAATTCAATATTCGAAATATCACAACCTTCGACTTAACATTTCACAATAGTACAGCTGTAAAAGAATGATCAATCTCGATATAAATTAACAGATTACATCAGTACACGTCAGACATCCGAGTCGAATATATTTTGTGTGTATAAGAAACACGTTTTCGTGATTAATTTTTGTTTCCTTCTAAATTAATTTCATGATAATTTGCATAAAAAATAGTCAATTTAAAATAAATAAAACTCGATCCAGTCGTATATATAAAAGCAATAATTTGCTCGGCGTGTCATTTAAGTGGTTTTTTAACATTCAATAAATACAGGTCATAACAGATTAAAAAAGTTTTATAATCTCAGAACAACGTGACGAGACACCAAAACGGGGATTATGTCTTGAAACTAATTATTTTGTCGGAAAGTCAAATTGAATCTTTTTAACGTCAGCTGTGTTACATGAAGTTTCATAAGCTCGTCTTTAGATGTTCATCCCACGCCAGATGAGTGTGATATTGTCACGGTTTTCAAACGATTCTACACTCTCAGTCACTCTGTGACTAAACATTTTTTCGAAGGACAATTTTTTTTTTAAATTTATTTTTGCAAATTTTATTGAAAGCTCTGCTCGATTTTACAGCGCGCATAATAATAACAGTATAATTGTTTTATTTTATAGCTTAAACTTGTTTTTTTAATTACTCGCGATATTATAGATTTACTAGTAATAAAAAACAACACCCACATGCGAACTTGCAGGAAATCATACTATCGTCGTGTTTCTAAAACACCAAATAATACTGTCGACAAGTTTACAGTGATAAGGCATACAGTTATGCTGTGTATGACGTAGCCAATGAATCAAACGTGAATCTTCGCTAAAATCATAAATTAAAATACGTAACACACACCGGTGGATTTAGACAGTTAGTCGATCATCATTAGCGCAACCAAAGCGTAAATGATGTTTGCGTTTTTTAAATACTAGATTACATTAATCTAATCGCGCCCATGACGACCGCGGGTCATTCACATTTCGCATGTCTCTTTGGCCGGTTTCCTAGGTCGCAAATTTACACCTATCGTCCACTTAGCTCGACCACACGACTTTTTACGTCCATCAAACAGACAAAATAATAACTGTTTCAGTACGAAAACCAACCGGCACGCACATTGTAAACACGATAACAAATAATATAAACGGCGGCGTGTCCTTATCGTGTCCGGTGTTGGAGCGATTGACCTAAAAACCAATTGGCTTGCTCACACACGTCAAAACCCGTATCGGAAAGATATTGTACACGTGTAGTTTCAACAACAGCCCGTTTGTGGGTCGGTAGTGACCTGAAAACCAACAGACGACGATCCCGCATAGAATATTTAAAGCGAAATTCGGCCGACATTTCGGAGCGGGCTAAAGCACTTTGTAGGAGTGATGTTCTGCACTCGGTAAACGAGATGTCAACACACACGTATGTACCTTTATTGTAATTAATGCATTCGTCCGAAAGGCCGTTTTACTGTTACGAACGGTCCTATGGAATGATATCGTTGTTGTTGAGCAATACGTGCGACAAATCGCCTGCATGACTGGAAATTTAAAATACAAACGGCCCGCGTGAGTGTGTGTGCGAAGGCGTTCCACGGTTTTTAACGTGCAAAAAACCTCACTTGATAAACTTTCACATTGTAAGCGCGATGATTGTGCGTATTATATGTACTTACTGACATTTATACATAACGTAATGATTGCGCAAATACCGATTTTTGCACCTCGTAAAACACTCGCACACGTCGACTGTCGTTGCGAACTCGATAAAAACAATGCGCATCAGCCGACGGTGGACAGTAGAAATCCGTTCGACAAATTGCATAACCTTTTTTAAACACAATACGACTGTATCAATTGATTTCTATGAGCGGACAACACACTTCCGTTTATTTTTAATTTTACTCGCCATTTCATGCCTAATGAAACAAAAATCTCCTCGTGATTTATGGCCTAACGTCTATTTTAGTAAGGCCAATTAACACAGTTGGTGAGAACTGGAACGCGTTTCAGTGGTTTATATAAATCTTCGAGATTCACGTAGACTTTTATGATTCATACGAGTGCCAAAGTCAATTAAATAATACAAACATTATTCTAATATTTGTGCATCCTTTTAAGCACCAACATATCTATAAATCATTTTACTAAGTCTACACGATTTTTTAGGTTTAATTTTAGCGAATTAACATAACAAGTTATTATATCAATTAAGTCATTATTAATAGCTTACAAAATTAGTGTACTCAAATATTCCTATATAATGTTTTTAGGAAATTTGTTTCCACGTATTTTGTACCTTATAATTATTCTCTAATGATATTTTTTGCTATCAAGTCTCAGGACCACTAATTAAAACAAATTATTTGCAGTACCAAAACAATTTTATGGAACTCAAAACTGATTTTCATCGAATAAACAAACATAAAACTACAGTCGCGAATGTCTACGACTTACGATTCTAAATCTGTTTCCGGAAAGGGTTTTTATAGTAAAGTTTTTCTTACCTAATCAATGTTCGCCTCGAATTACCTGGTTCGCTAAATTAATTACTTCGTGTGTTTATCTGTACATTTGACTTGACCTGGTGTTAAACTATAAAGGTTACAATTGCCCCTATGTGCATTGTTCACGTTTTAATTAAGGTTATCTTTATTCTTAGCTAAATAAAACGGCAATTTAAACCCGTATCTAAATTTAAAATCAAATTTATTAGTTTTTTATTAAAGTAAAGTTTCAATGACAAAATAATTATTTTAAATGTTAAATTTTTTGTTTGTGTATTTTTATCAAGTTATTAAAAAACACTATAAGTAGTTTTCCATTTTCTTAAACAAAGGCTAAAATCAATATCAAACCGTAAACTTTTTACTTTTGATATATAAAAATATTACAAAAATGTGTTTTTCAATTTTTTTCAGTAATTTATTTTGTTATAATTGTATAATCATTATAGTTATATAAAGTGTTCAGTAAGGTCAATTGTTATAAACATTAGAAACCCCGTTCCTTACTTACTGAACACCCAATATAATTAGTGCAGGCTCTAATTAAAATACTCCCTAGTCATATACATTTATTACGTATCAAATTTACACTCATTTTAAAAAGATACATATTACTATATATTTGCATTTATAAATTCGCATTTAAGATATTAATATGTTATTTTTTATAATATCTTAATTAAGTGGATTTTAATTTTAATAAACGAAAACAATTGTTTACATAAACGTAGTTTGAAATTTAAATTAGTTATATGGAAAACAAGTTCATGTATAGTTTTAATTACAATAGTAATTTATTTGAATAGCGATATATTTTTATAACCGAAACTCAATAGAACTCAACTTGAACTTGCAAGTTCTTTAAAAGTTGATTAATGTGCAGTTAAGATAAATTATACGTGAAATTCTTCATGGCCACTCTTGAATGCAATTCAACAATTTAACATTTTAATAAGTGTATGAGCTCAGTTAATTTATTAGTACATTTTCTTTTTTTATATTGAGTAATAATAAATAAAACAAGCCAATAGACCGGTTTAAATAAATCAGACTATTTAAGCAACTTTTTTTTACTTATAAATAAATAGAATAATTATATTTTTCTAGTGATTTTCGGGAGCTAAAACACTATTTGCTATTAATGACATTTAAATACGTACTTTTAACAAATGTTGTTAAATTTACTTTGAGAAAAAATTTACCTAGTGTGATATGTGTAAAAAATCTAAACCCTAAATTTACATAACAAATAATGATCACACAACTCTAACAGCCTGACAATATTATATAAACATTTACTTTTCTAATTTGGTGTTATGAGTGAGCCTAAGTTAAATTTTGAAATTTCAAAACGCGTTTATTTAGTTTTGGCAAAGACTGCTGTTTGTATTAGGCCAAGGATCGTGTGACGTTTCTGGAATAGAGTCTAGGCGATTAATAATAATTATCTACTAGTATTTATGTATAACATATTGGCGTGTTTACCTTTGTAAACACATTAACGCGCAGTGTAAAAGAAAAATATACAAACGGTTCATTTACAGAAATAGTTAGCAAATTATAAGTAATCTTGGGAAATTAAACATCAACTAATTAATTTAATTAGAACTTAATATTCATCCGCGTCTACTTGATAACTACGAAACGGAATACAACGGTTTAGGATGTATATAAAGTTATTATACATTATTATGTAATGTGCTCGTATGTTTCTGATGTATCCTTGAAAATTATAACCTACTATTTTTATTTGAGAATAAATTAGTAATTAGCCAAGATTAAGTTCTTTCCTATCGATAAATTTATGCCTCTAAATCACTATTTTAACTAACTGTTTAACCTGTCATTTTTTAAGTTTTTATATAGTAGTTTTAACGCAGTCGACGTTTATGTTTACAACTACTTGTTCGATTTCGCTTTCATAAAATGTATGTTCAATAAATTCTTGGCGTTACATTATTCTCTAGCGACATTTAAATCATTTGATTATGTAATTCTTTTTAAAAATCTCGTTATTTATTTATTTTTCTAACTTTCGATATAGTTCTAAGTAATTTTGAAATCCCACTTCAGCCCCGAGCAAATAAAATACAAACAAATAAAGAAATACTATTTATTTGAAATTTCTGTTTTTTTAACTGTCTTAATAGTGTCCACGCGCTAACATAAAACGTTATAAAAAATTCACAGCAAACATTGCGAGTACAAAAAGAGTGACAAAAAGGAATTTGATAAGTGTACATGTGTTTGATTTTACCGCTCGTATGTGCTGAAGTTCACCAATCTGAAATAGGCCAATGGTTTTTTTTGTGAATCTCTTAAAAGTATCTTTCTAACATTGAACCTCTAAAACAAAGTAGCTATTAAACGAACAAAAGTAATTTCATTTGCAATAGATTAAGTAAGCTGATCTTATCCCTATTCACGTGTAAGTATTATTATTATTATATGACATCAGAAACAAAATTGCTTTTAAGTCAACTGTCACATTATGTACAACACAATCGTAACACTAATCCACACACACACACACACATGTAAATAAAGTAAACTTATTTAAAAGACGATCTTGACCATCGAAAATAAATCTATTTTGGCAGGAGAATTTCAACTGCGGTGTTTGTTTACCTGGTTCGAACCAACGTAGACCTTTGCCGGTGATAACTGCAGCCGGTGGTTGTCGCTGCACCTTCGGTGACCGCGGCGGTTACCACCGTCATTTCGAACCGCACATTCGACTGGTCGAACCTTGGGAGTTAAATGTATATACTTAATACATATGTGTCGATTTGGTTTTCTTAATATTAACTAAACAAATCCAAAGCCTTTAACAAAAAGAAAAAAAAACAGACACAATATATTTTTGGAACACCCTAAGATAATAATAAAAGTAAAAAAAAAGGGTTTTAGTATTTAATTGTCACGGTGTCCGCGAATAAGATTCGGCGATGACGGTGTCCAATCGACGGCGGACAGTGGCGTACGACTGCCGGCCACGAGTGACACACGCCAACAACAAAATGTTACAACATCGGCGAGCACGCGGCCGTGGTGGCTGTGGCGGCGCAGTGGTGTGTTGATGTTGGCCGTCGGGCAAACGCGGCGGTGAAAGTGTGTAATAAAAATCGCCCGTGAAACGTCATCTTGGCAAACGATAACGCGGAATATTAATAACAATCAGAGTTGGAACTTCCCTTTTCGTTATTTTATTATTGAAAAAACAATGTCACGGGTGTTATTATTAATGACGTGTACGACACCAGCGGCTGTCCACCACAGGATGTTTCGTTGAGGTTAAAGCCATTTGCTTTTCGGTTTTCGCAGGCCCCGGGAGGGGTCCTTTTGCTAAAAAGGGCCCCTATCGCGCGCGAAAAACATTAGTTCCATGCTTTTGTGTAATACTCGTCTGGTATGGATGTGACATACCGGAGATTGCACTTAGCAGCTATGTCTTTACAACGGTGACCCGTCTTGAAAGCTACCAGCCGTCCCGTTGCCATTTTTCGTCTGGTAGAAAATTAAATAACGCCGTTCGGATGGCTGTTTGTTTGTAAACCGTTCGAGTACTCTGTTAATTAATTTTTACTCGGGTTCTATTATGCTTTTGAACTCAATAACAAAGTAAAAAAAATCACATTCACAACACGAGTAAAATTAGATAATAATTTTTTTAAATATCGTCTACTGGTACGATGGCATAAAACTTTAGTATTCGAAAGAAAAGCCTTGTAATACTAACTGACCGAATCTGTTGGTAATAGCAATGCAAAAAATTATAACATTAAGTGGTAATTTCTTTAAATTATAACCCGTTCAAGTATACAATATATTTAATTTCAATGAGAAAACCTGTAATGTATAAAAAAAGTAAATAATGTCATTTAAATTTTTATTTCTTTTTTTTTTTTTAACTTTCTATTGATAAAAGAGATTATACGAAAAACAAATTTGTTTAAATAAAATTTGATGTGCAGTTTTAAATTGAATTATCTATATATAATTAACTATATATAGTATTTACTATACTCTTTAAGTTGGTTACTAAAAAATAAAAACTAATCCTTAGGAATAAAAATATTAGCAATCAATAACTATAAAAAGTATAAAAAAGAAGCATTTGTAGCAATTCATAAATAATGCACTACTGTAATAATAAGTATTTATGAAAAATGAACATTTATAATTAGGTCATAAATAATTTTATAGAACGATTATCGACAATAAATGAATTGAAATAATGACCTGTTATCTAAAACACAAAAAAAAAAAAAGAGTGATAAAGTTAACATCATCAATCAAACAAAATTCATAGTTACTAAATGATCATGCGTTTGTAGATGGTGTAAGTAATATTCACCTAATTATAACTAACTTTCATAATAAAAAAATTTTTTTTTTTCAAATCTAAAATAATTTTAGAAATATTAATTATTAGTATTGATAAAATAAATAATTCCAAACATTATGTTACTATCAAGAAAGAAACCAACAAGACATACAATTCTTCAAACTCAAACACACTCGAAGAAGTCTAGAATATACATTTAAAGCGTATAACAAAATAATAAATGAGTAATTATTGTTTCGAATAAATATTTTACTTACACCATTATAAATACGACGATGAAAAATTAAACGTAATAAATTCATTTTCGCTTTATAATATCGACGAGTTAAAAAGGTTAAATTTCAATAAAATACTATCAGCAAAAAATTCAATTCGTGGTTAGTAGTAAGCTACATAAATGTTTTTTTTCAACAATGTCAACGGTTGCATGTTTATTTAAAATTTACACTTGTTTTTTATGAATGTCAAAAAATCATTATCCAAACTTGAAAGTATAAACTATTTTTAAAACTTTATTGTTTTTTTATTTTACAAGGTCACAAAACTTAAGTACAGAATGTCTTATCAACTTCGAAATCCAATGACATAAACAAATGGCATAACGTTCTCTATAATTTTCCTGAAGTTTTTTCTTTTTTGATACTTATTCCAGCTTATTAATGTATTTTATATTGTAGTCTGATTTCTATGTGACCTAAAATAATTATAAAATATAATAATAATAAAATTTTTCGATAAAAATTTAATTTTTATGGCATTTTTTACATTATTGAATAAAAAAAAATACAGCTTTTTGAACCAATAGAATTATATTTACGATGAACAAAAGGTCATATCTAAATAAAATATATCAGAATTTACTGTTATATGAATCTCTGTAAAAATATACAGGGTATTCAGTAATTAAAGAATCAAGTCAATTGTTACAAACAATGAGAACAATAGACACCCGTTTCCTTACTTACTGAACGTTCTATATTTTTTTTAGCGATAAGTATAACGAAGAAATATTGCTTATCACGTCACAAATCTATCAATTCAAAATTTAATATTGGAGAAAATAATAAATAAAACGTTTTGTTGGCTGTCCAAAATTGTGTGTCATACGATATGATATATTAGTTTAGTTTGTTTTCTTAAAAAAAAAAAAACAGCATGCTTTAGTTAAAAATTAAATACAAATGTTTGAAATATTATACCTCCCGAAATTATCGATTTAACAGTTTACCTGATTCTATTTTTTATTCGCCTATTTCCTAGCTAAACAGTTTTAATATATATTTTGATGTTACTGTCTTATTATGTGATTTTTTCAAGAACAGAAAAATATAACTACAACTTTATAAAGTTTCACCTCAACGCAAAGACGAAAATACACTATTGGATTTCTTTCAACGGATCATTGAAATATTAAACTCTAGTATTTTCATAGCCTAATATCCGAATTAAATGTAAGAACATGTTACTAATGGAGCTATTCAAAATGACAAACCATTCATCTATTGAAAAATATCATAATGTATTGTTAAGTCTATAAGAAAATCTGAAAAAAATGTTTGAAAATAAATGGATCGTTAGGCTTAGACTTTCTGTAAAAGTTATATCCGATATTTACTCATGAAACAACTATTGAATATATTTTTATTCGTATAATGTTATATTTTTTCAATTTATCAAAAATACATCATCATCGTAATAAATAATTCACGGATATTTTTTATTTCTATTAATCAAATTAATAGAAAAATATCTTCTAAAATCGTTGACAAGAGAAAACGACAAAATGTGTACAACTGTATTGTAATACTGATATTTTATACAAATTTCATTTGTTATGTATGTCACATAAAGGACTAAGGTGATTGTAGACTATTTACCTTTTACGAGGACTGATAACCTTGTGAGATACTACAATGCTCTTTACAATATAAAACACTATTATAAGCGCTAGCGTTTTGAAAATAATTACTTCTTATCATTTTAATTGTAATTTATAATACGATTAAACACACTGAATATATACATGAATAAATTAGTCTACGTGATGTAAATATATAATATATTCAAGTCAAGATGGCATGTGTTTCCATAACTTTTGCTGCAAGTTGTAAAGTTTGAAATAGCAAATGTTTTCGTCCCTAAAGCTTATATGATATGTCCCATAAGAATATATTTTTTCAACAGTCATTGCTCGACAGAAGTTCTAACGTTTTTTCTGGCCATACTTCGATCGCAAAATTCAGAGCACTCTACGGGTTCTCAATAAAAACGCCTTTTAAAACAATATTACGCAAATGCTATCAATATGTTATTCTAGTCATTTTTCTATTTCACCCAACTGGCATCATCCCTTAAATCTTCGAAAATCGTTTCTATATCTTACTTTATGTACTTATTTATTTTTTATTTATATCTTTTTTTGTCAAACAGTATTGAACTAAAAAAATAGCTAATAACAGATAATACAAAAATCTTTCATTTTATCTTACTAAATGTTCTACATATAGTAATGAGTCATATAGTGACATATCTAATGACATATAGTTATGATTATTACTAGCGTTAGATATCCAATAACATCTTATTTTAAAGGTCTAACCACCATAAAAGCTATTACAGATTCACATTCTGTTTTTCTTGAGTGTAGGGTGTATGTTTCTCAAAATTTTAAATAAATTTAAAAACAAAAAACAGTCAAAATTATTGTTATAGACATTTATTTTAATTACTTATTTTCAAACGAATTTTTCATTAACATCAACTTAACTGGTTTTCTCAAACTTATATAAAATTACATAACTTTTTTTAATAAGATTCATTTTAGATTTATTCTAATGAATTTAAAATTTTTAACACTCAGTTTCGCCTAGACACGGTGCGTTTCAGGTTATCCTTGCGGGTAGGTCACTGATTCCGATAGAAGTACTTGGCTACGCCGGACACGATATGTGTTGTATAGAAAAAGTTAACTCCAAAAGCAGTTTACCAGAAAAATAGTCTTACTTTTAGATTTAATAATAATTAAAAAAACATTTTGTATTAACAATATGACTACAAAATATTTGGGTGTATTCACAATTATATATCATAACAATAATAGAATCTTTGAGCTCTTTCATTTAAAAAAAAACTTTACAAATCAAAAATCGTTAAGTAGTTTTTCCAGCATTGGCTTATCTTTCAATGTTTTATTTTATAATGACATTTGAACTGTTAAAAAAATATATATTTTTAACTGTTTTAAAATGTATATCAGGATAATGTGATAGTTTTGTAATTACTTCTATATCAAACTAATGGTCGAACTTAATATTATTGCCTACTGTTATTAAACATAATAATTAACATCATTAAACTAGTCATTTTAAGAAAATTGGCATGTCACATTTTATTGAATAAAGTAGGAATAGAACAACAACAAAAATAGAGTATTTTATTCAAGTACTTTTATGTATATTTATCAGACTTTAATTATATTTCATTATTTTATCTTTTTAGTTGCCTATTTAATTCAACTAGACTTTGTTTTGCAGTTTATATTTGAACTAAACATATTTATATTTTCAAGACAAAAGTTTACAAATGATTTAATTTTCCTCCGAGAACAGAGGAACTTATAAGATTTTATGCTGGACATCTACCAGCTAAATATGAATTATGTGTGAATGTTATAAATAACAGAGACATTAAGGTTTTTTCGTCACGTATTCGTTTAAAACTGAAAATATGTCATATCCAAAAGTTAAACCAACTTTAAATGAAAAATATTGTGAACGTTAAGACTCTAATAGGCTCTATAATTTTTATTATTTTTTTTTTTACTGCAATTTATATTAACCTATGATTTATCATAATTATTTTCCTGAAAATTTTTCTCTTAATTACTGATGTAGCATTTAAAAAATTACGTTCACACATAAGCTAAAAAAAATTGAATTAGATTGAAAATGAATACAATGTACTCATTTACAATTTATTTTAATAATTTTAATTTCAGGATTATTATATATTATAATAATCCTTAGTTTTATCAAAATTACTACATTTATTATAATATCCTGATATTGTATTATAAACTACTATAAGTCTTTATATTATACAATTATTATTATTATTTATAATGCAATCGTAAATGACTTTAAAATTGTTTGTGTTAATTGAAATATATTAAGAAAAAGATATTTTGAAGACAAAATATTCAACTACGTATATTTAAAGTTTTTATTTTATTTTATCTTAACCAATAAGATAATTTAACAAAAATATATTGTTAATAAATTTATAATTTATTAGAGTTTTAGATGGAGTAACATTAGTGATAACATCTATACCAATTTCGGTTGAATATAAATAGATACATTTTTCATTTAATATGTAAAACGTTGTACATTAAGGTTATTTTTTTACTATTTTGAACATACTGAACTATTATCGAACACTCTGTTTATACAGAATGATCGGTTTATCACAGACTTCTCGATTATTTACAATAAAAATACAATATTAGAAAAATTATTTTTGATTCTATTAGTAGTTACATATAGTTCTTGATTTATTAGCAAATAATTAATTTTTAGAATCATTCCTTAATGGGGTGTCATCTTTATTTTTTCTAAATAATAACATACATATTTAACTAGCTTATACAGAATTAAACAACCTAATTAAGACAATAACTGGTCATTAACAACTTTTGGAGCAATATTTTGGAAGTTATTCTCTTTTTATACCCTGGCGAGACAATAAGTACGGTCAGCAAATGACTAATGATAAAAATAGCGGCAACCACTCCTCTCTCCAATCATAACTTTAAATTGTAAATAACTTCTGGAATGTTGTTATTGATAAGTTAATTTTTTAATTAGATCATTTCCTGTTTTATAAGCTAGTTAAATATGTACGTTACCTTAAAAAAAAAAAAAAAAGTTGACGCTCTTTTAAGTTATAAAGGATGATTTTAAAAAGTATTTATTAGCTGATAAATCAAGAATAATCTGTAGCTAATAGAAATGAAAAATCATTTTTCCAATATTGTATTTATTTATTAATAATTGAGTGGTTTATGATAAACCGATCACTCCGCATGCATATTTGTACATACTAATATTATATAATAATAATATATTTATAAATAAGATATTCAAACATAAATATGATACGTTATATTTTTTTTAAGATTATGTTGGCTCATGATTATCATAATTATGAAAAACTGTTCTTCAGAGCGGACAAGTGTTAGTTCTTTTAATTTTATTTTTGTAAAAGTATGTTTGACACTTTTTGTGATTACATTCCAAGGATGTGACATCTTGGGTGCAAATTGGATATGCTTTATTAAAAAAAAAACTTCTTATCTTCTTCTTCTCCTCCGCTTTTTAGTAATGAGTGAATCTAATAAAAAAAAATAAACACTTATTAAAATTCTCTAGATATAAAATTTTTGTACAAACTTTTGGGATGAGTTCAGTCATAAGCGTAAGCAAAAAATGCTCTCAAAGATAATGATACATTACAGTAGTCATTTAACACGTATTTCGCAATGTTATTATTATATAAAGTAACGGTCAATGAGTATATTAAGTATATATTACAATATATAATATACTTAATATTATATTACAAGGTCTATACCAATATTTTAATGATGATACCATATCCTAAGATATAATAATATTATCTATGGAAAACAATTAATATTGCGAATTTAAAAGTCTATTTATAATGCCATTTGTTATTTATTTTACTTGCAAAAATATAAAATAATCTATTTTATAATTATATTTTATTTTAGCTTTTTAAATATAATATCCAAAGTAGTATATACCTTAGTAGCGAGAAACTCAACTGCACATATATGAGACACGACATACGTCGCAATAATGTAGTCGACACAGGTTTTTGATAGTTGAGACCCGTACGCCGTTCATTATTCATGAACAGCAACAGATTTAAAAAAAAAAAAGAACCGAAAAAACGAACACAATAACAATCTTCGCATAATATCGCCGCGGCATTTTCGCTGGAGTCGGTGCGCGGTGTCCGACATTGTCGTGGGACGTCAAAAAGTTAGCAGTATTGATGGCCACGATACGCTGATGCGATACGGTTCGTCGCGGCCAGTCGTGCGACACGTCCGGAGCCGGTGGCGTATATCTTCAACATAGTCACTTTGACGACGGGACGAAGACTCAGCGTATCATTTGCGACGGGTCTTGTTAAATTTTGCACCGTGTTGTACGGCACGCGGTTATGGTCAGTCAAACTACTCATAGTAAGGCGACGGGTTGGAAATGGTAGTGCGGTTGGGTTGGGTTTGAAAACTTGATCCAATTTCTTTCGACCTTTCACAAAGGTTGAGATTCGCATTTGGACTATATAATAATAACAAAATCCTTCTAATTAATATCACAAATACTTGTATTATTTATAACAAATATCTCTGATTAGATTATTTATGAATAATCAATTAATAGAATTTAATTTAAAAAATACTTCCAAGCAGAATTTTTATGTTTACTACTCTTGTATGTATTATAACAGTTAATAATTGTAACAATGTTCCTGAAATACGTATCCGCAATTTTTAGTATTTTTTGTTGATTTTTGAGTTAAATTTTATTATATCTTTTTTATTTTTTACTACGAGTGTATTTAAAAATAAATAATTTTTGTATAATGGTACAAATATTACAAAACTTATGATATTTCAATGTATTATTTAACTATAATATTTGTAACTTAATTTTTTTCTACATCAGTTAAATGTGTATTACTAATTTATTGTTTATTGTATGTACTTGATCTTCCCTTATTATGAATGATATATTATTTACTGATAGATAGACAATTTTTAGATAGATAACCTTTTTTCATTGTCATCTCACTAAAATGTACCAATATAGATCTATATTAAAGTTGAAATTGAACAAATTACTAATTAGAATTTGTATTATCTATTTTAAAAGGGGGTATCTTTTTTAATAGGTTAATTTTTAATGATAGTAAAAACATATGACTTTCTTACTTTACTTAATGCACAAAAATTCATTTTTAACAATTGAATATTTAAAATTATTTTCTAATATCAATATAACAATTAACAAAATTACTGGATTTTTTGTTTTAAAAATTTTAATAAAATTTTGTGAAATTATTTATTAAGTTACACAACATTTAGTATTCTTAATTAATTTTGTGTCTATATCCAAGCATTTACTCAAGTGCTGATAGTTTTTATAGATCTATTCTATATAAACCCTTAATTACACTTAAAATTAATTGTTGAAATTTAGTGTTATAATATAAAGCATGATTGTTTAACTATGACTCACGTAATATATTTAAAAATAATATAATTTATTTTATTCCTATCTCTCTTTTTTAACTCTTAAAATTTGATCAATTTTGGTTTTTCTAACAAAAATAGTTGTTTCCATTAGTTATATATGTTTAAGTAACTTACAAATAATACATGATCTTTTTAAGAGAATTAATAGTCGATAATAAATTTTGGACCAGTATTTTTGAAGTTATGAACTCATTAATGCATAGACTGTAAGTAAAGCACGAGTCTTTTAATTCTTATCAATAACCATTAATAAACCGCAGTACTCCTCCAGTTTTGTTATAAAAAACTAATATTCTCAAAAAATTACAAACAATAATTATTAACTGTAAGTAATTTATTAACTAATTAAAAAATGCACAACGCCACGTTAAAGAAATTATAACAATAACATAATGAGTATAGTATATAAATACAAATTTGAAAACAAAAAGTTTTAAAAGAATTAAATAATTGAATAAAGGACCAACAATTAATCAAATACTTTGATTTGTGATATCATGTGAATCATCAGTCCATTTAGATCTTTTACAACGAATTATATTGAATCATGGGCTGTAAGATAACTTCTTAATTAGGCTGCACATTAAAATGTGCCTCCTTTTTGTCATATTGATCTTCAAAGCTAAATTTACTTTTCAACACACCGTTGTTGTGTACGGCATTGGTTGACAAATTTAAACTTTTAACATAGAAGAAGTTGTCAAACTTTTCAATGAGTTTGCCTAAAATGTTTAATACATTTAATTAATGCTGTACATTATATCGATATGCGCAACGAATAAGTCAATAATTCACTTTTTGTTACTTTTGAGGAGGTCAAAAATAAAATTTATTCTATGATTACACGCTATGAGTTTATCAATTTTCTAAGTAGTTCAATTCCGATTCAAATCAAATTTACAATATTTTAATGAAAGTTATTATAAGAAAAATCCAAATACCTCATTATCTCAAAGTTAAATATTTTGAGTTACTAACTTATTCGTTGCGTATGGCGTTATAATATAATTTCTAATAATGCATTAGTGTATTGTACGTATTTTAAAACACAATGAAATACAAGCGCTGTCATATAAATAAAAATTATGTATTATGATAACAGAAAATAAAATTTTGTATTCAGAGACGTTCTGGCCCACTGATTTTTACTGTGCTACAACACAGTGGGTCGGTATCATTGTGCCTACTTTCGAAAAACGGATGGCTGGCCTGTCAGGTATTAAGTAGTTACTGTTATCACTACTAATAACAATTTAAATGTTTTCAAATTTGATTGATTTGAAAAAAAATTTATTTTTTACATATCATATAATTGATTGTTACGCAATCATATTAATAATGAATCTATGGAGGGATAATTGTAAAATATTCAGATGAGTTAAAATAGTCTAAGTAAATTGTTCAAGGGGTATTACATTTCATAACTAAAACACATATCGTTTGAACACCCGAATGTTCTTCCAGATTGATTAAATGTATATCAAAAATTTATCCTAAGGCCACAAAGACAACAATATTTACTTCATTATTTTTTTCTAATATAATAGGTTGAATATCTTTCAGTCCATCCTTGTTTGTAAAAATAAATTAAAAAGCGTAACTATATATTTTTGATATCTGAGCATCTTTTTCTAGGAGTCAGCTTACCCTTTAGCTAATTTAGCAAGAAAAATCATAATACAAAATTAAATTTTTGATAAATGCCCTTTTGAAAGTGGATAAATAATATACATTATACATTTTTGAACTTATGATATACAGAGTGTTTAGTAAGTAAGGAACGAGTTTTTACTTTTCTCTTTGTTTGTAAAAATTTACCTGTTTCCTTACTTACTGAAAACTCTGTATATCATAAATCCAAAAAACTATACTCCGTATTTTTATCACTACACTAAATTAATAATGTAATGAATTAAAGCAAAGAAGAGTCAATTAACTTAACTAAACTAAAAAATGTAATACCCTATCAAACATAAATAAAAGACAAAATAAATTATGTACAGTCTTTTTGAAATATGTAAACATTAAATTGTCAACTATGCATACTGAGCCTAGAAGATGGTGTTGTTTTGAATACAGACAAAGACATATCCCTAAAAGGCAATGTTCGGTATATATCATAAATACTAGATCTAGGTTTTTTCGTATCAATCTGAATCTTAATCTTTTGGTCACATTGATCTCCAAAATCGAATGTTTTTATCAACACATTTCTGTTGTGTACGGCATTCGTCGACGAATTTAGATCTTTATCATAGAAGAAGTTGTCATACTTTTCAATAAGTTCTTCTGAAATTTTTAGTATAATAGTATATTCATTTATGAAAAAACTATTTTCACGGCCAATCCAGTCAAATTTAAATATGGTAAAACATGTTAAACAACTAAAAAATAGAATATTTTACTTACTGATCCTTGGAGATGGTGTTCTTTTGAACACCGTGGAAGACATATCTCTATAAGGAAACGTTCGGTATATATTCTCACCGTGTCCTCCAGAAGATAATTCTCCAGACGTATCTATAGGTACTTTCTCTGGAAGATATTCCTCTGTTTGGGTGTATGAGTCGGAATATGTTTTGTTCCAACCTAAATTATGCTTGATTTCTTTCGATATTAGTTTTAGAAAAGAAAAGATGGCAAAACAATATTCTAAATCGAAAAATTTTGCATACAATTAATAAAAAATAAATGCTTATAAAACTATTAATATTATTCGAAGAGTATTTTTACTTTTTATTTTTCTGAAAGTATTCATTTCTAATAAAACTTTGAATTTTGTACAGTTTTAGTTGAACAAAATAAATTATCTTACTTTCCTGATCGGTCACAAAATTTTTCTAACAAGAATCAGAAAAATAATTTGCCTTAGTGTATTTATTTAATTCTAGTGGTTTACGTGGTGTAACAAATAACAATCAGATATTTATAGCCAATAGTTAAACTTATTTGATTACTAAACTAATTATAAAAAAACCTAATTTGTAAAAGTTTAATTCAACATTTCTTGAAGTTAGTGTAGCAACGAAATAAAAATTAATTATCTAAATTATATGATATAATTATTTTGTGATCTTATTTTAATAATGTTTTATTTTTTAATTAAAACAATTAAAGAAACTATGGTATCTAAAAAATGATCATTGTATTACAGGATGCAATTTCATCAGAGTCTAATTATATTTTAATCATAAGAATCACATTAAGATAGATTAAATTAAATGTATCGACATTTATTAGGGAATACTCAACTATCAATATACAGAGTGATTTCATAGAAAAGACTCAAAAAAATATTGTAACCGTTAAATTTTACAATGTTAGAGCCATTTGAAAATCGAAAGTCGTTACGAGTTTAGATTAAAGGTATTGTAACAGAAAATTAGTTTTTCTTGTAACTCAGCTCCACATAGAACTATTATTGTTAAAAAAATAAAATAACCATTAGCTCAATTGTAGAATTTATCAATATTATATTAACTTCATGTTTTCATTAAACGTGTCTTGAAAAATATTACTATGAACAGCTCCTAAAATGTATTTGCTCATGTTTCTTTTTTAACTCAAGTTTCCATTTTTACCTTAAAATGTCTCCATTTTTTTCAATTCAAAAATAATAGGCAATAGTGAAGTTTTTTTTCCAAATTTGTTTGAATTTTTATAGGTTATACATTAGATAACATTGGTGGATAATTCTTTCAATCGCTTACCTTGTGATAAAGTTGGGCGATAAGTTATCAACGAGAGTTTTTCTTTTTAAGTTTTTTCGGGCGTATAACTAGCTAAGCCTTATATAGATATGGTGAATATTCGTATGTATATTAAGTTATTATTAGTTCAGAAGTTCTAATGTTGGTACTAGGACTTAAATTAAATTTAAATTGAAAACATTGCACATTACTTTACAAATTAAGATGACGAGATAAATTTACTTGTTCATTTGTCTGCATTTTCTACATTTTTTACACAAATTTATTGAAAACCAAAATATATGTGTCTATTCTGCTTGAAATTTACTAATAAATTCCGGATTAAACCCATATACGTATTATTGTAAGTTCTAATTTTTGATGTAGGTAGAATTTTTTTTTAAGGCCAAGAGGCTTTTGTGGAAAAAATTTATGTTTATCTTTGTGATGTAGAAGCAAGACCAAAATAAATATACTTTGACATTTTTGTGAATTTATAATGTATACCAAGCCACTTCTTGCACTTCTTGAAAGATCATATAGTGAAGAAGAAGTAACAGTTTTTGTGGCCTTTTTATATTAAATTTAACCCATCTATATATGCAAAAAGTGTCACGACGTTTTACAATTATCTGTTTATTACTCGATTGTGTTAGTTATTACAGATTATTTTACTTAAAATAAATGTTTTGTGATAACTAAAAAATCCCTTAAAGTTATTACAAGTTTTTATCAAAGCATTTTTTATACCTATTTCTCGGAACAGTTTAAAAGATTAATATGAATACTATATAGTTAATTTGATGACTAATAGATAATGATTTATAGACTACTGAATAATGAGTGGTGTAATAGGGTGACCATCAGCTACAATTATAGGTTTCTTTTTAATAATATTTACAAGTACCAACCCTTATTTTATAAAAAAAGATACCTACAAAAATTTTTGAAAAACCGTTATTTAGCCCAAAAAAATTAATATGCAAATATCTATTTTTATCGTTGAAACTATTAACTTGATTTATTTTATAAACCATCCATTTCAAAAAAAAATTTTCACATAAAAGTTCTTTTAAATTAAATTATCTTCTACCATTTACTATTCACAATGTACATTGAATAATTTGACATCATTGATTAGTGATGTTAACATCACTAAGATAATATAAAACGGGCAAGCTAATTACTTTTTATTCTTCGATTCTAGCAAGTGTACTAGCTTATATATTTCATAAGTCTTTTTAAAGTATAGTTTTTAATAAATTTGACACGTTTTATGACTTTTAAATTCGATGCGAAGCTGAGAAGTTATTAATTTTACTATGATGTGTTTTTTTTTTGTGTCTGTTACCACTTTTTCTCAGCTCTCACCGAACGGATTTCTTTCAACGATACATCAAAAGATCACAAATCGTATTTAGTCGAAGATATTACCCTCATAAATTGAAAAAATTTCTCTCGTTCCCCGTAAATGGGGGAAATCTCCAAAAAAATAACAAATTTAAAAATTGCTAATATTCGAATTTTTTTTACTTAAAACTGCCATAACTTTTTCAATTATAATTATATTAATATAATTTTTTTTTTTATAGATGCTTCATGTCTTTACCTATCATTTGGTGTATTTTTATATAAATCTGACCCCTTACCTGTCTACAGGAGGGAATTTAAAATGACAACTTTTGCACAATGAATTGACTTTTTCAACTTAACTTTGAAAGTGTTCCGGAAAGTCTGACACTTTTATATATATATATCTTAAATTAAAGCTAATGTAATTTATTATATTATGAAAAAAAAAAATGTCGAACTTTATTATGTCTTTATGGTGAAAATGTGTACCAAATGCTATTTTTGTATGAAAATTATCGATTTTACTTTTTACATTTTTAACTTTATAATACATTTAACATTTATAATGCTATAACTTATTGAAAAATGTATGGATCAACACAATTTTTTATATGAGAAATAATATTTTTAATAATCCCTTTTTCATTCGATATACTTTATCTTAATCAGAATATTAATAAGGAAATAGCAGATCATGTAGCTTTTGGAATAATCCACCAATTTTTTAAAATTAAACACTATCTAAAGATTTGCATCGAAGCATTTTTTATGATAGTGATTTTAATTACTTTCAGATATCATTATACTTGACCCAACTATGCCACGTCCCTACTTTGCTGGGTTTTTTAAATTAAATGTTACGTAACTAAACAAAAATAAAACATAGGGGTCAAGGTTTAAAGAACATTTAAAATCAAGAAGTCAGTAATTCTCCTGTGACTGAACATTTATTTACTTATAATAACTACATTAAATACATAAAACTAATTAAAAACGTAAATAATTCAAAAACAGCCATATGTCTTTTTTGGCGCTAAGACAATGGTGTAATTAGATTTGACATATTATTTCATAATTTAATTTTTTTTTCTCCCAAACTGAGTGATCAATTGTAATTTTCAATTTTTCTTTAAACATTCTTTTTCATCTTCTTCACTTTAATACCAACAACATGGGATCGGCCACCCTTATCCTAAATTCCCACTTGACACGATTTCCTACATCATCTATGCTCACATCAGCCGTTCTTATATCGCATTCAGTTATATTCCTCCATCTCTTTTTTTAGTCTTCCCCTTCTTCTTATTTCTTTAACATTTATTTCTATAACTATTCTTACAAACTTCCGATACCTCTCTCCTTGTAAAATGATCAAACCATCTAAGTCTATTCTCTCATCTTTTCTACGATTGACGCTACATCTATATTCTTTCTTATATATTCGTTTTATATCCTATCTTCTCTAGTAACTACACTCATCTATATAAGTATTCTCATCTTTGTTACAATCATTTTCTGTTCTACTTTCTTGTCCACTGTCCAAAAATCTCAACCATACATCATAGCTGGTCTCACTACTTTCTTATAGAGCTAATCTTTCAGCTTCATTGGAATTCTTTTATCGCATAACACACCGGACGCTTCTCTTCACTTGAACCATCCGTACTTAATCCTGTGTTTTATATCCTTGTCATTACCACTGTTCTTTTGCACAACTGATCCTAAATACTTATAATTTTCCACCTCTCTTATCAACCCCTTATACTTCCAAGATGGGACAATCCGCCTAAGTTGTGTTCAGGATTTCTTGTACTTTTTGATAAAATATACGTCGACTGTCTACCTAACGCACTCTCATTAGTCGCCTCTTACGACTAGCAGGGGCCGTGGAAATATTCTTATCCTCTATCCACAGGGACGACTTTTTTTTTAAACAAAGTTAATAGATGTGTAAGAAAGGGCCAAATGTAAAACCAAAGTCAGAATAAGCATGTAAATTCTATATCAAATTTACTAAAATATTTTAGTCTTCAAAATATTTTTTTTTATTTGTTGGCCTATGATATTCAGTTGAAATATCAAGATATTTTATTCAAGAAATATTGTAAAAATAATATTGGTTATTTGAAAAACTCAAACACATAAATTTAAGATTTATTTTTTAATAAATTTTTTTTATTAACTAATTGGGTTTTTTTAAAACAAATTTTTTTATTATATTAATTTACATTTTGACAAAAAAATTTTTTCATTTTATTTATTTGAAATCATAACACGTTATGGTAAAGGTAAGACATTAGTTACGACACCTAGACAATTTCCAGTGAAATATAAATAAATACATTTTTCATTTTTCATATCTAAATCTATATTAGGCCTACCCTTTCGATATAATATCCAACTATATTTTGGGTCAAATACATAAATACATACGTCTAAATAATGAGCAGCGGCAATGAAATCTGCATAATTACATACACTATCTAATAAACCTGAAAATTGTTTGTAATATTTTAGAATAAGATGATATTATATTAGTGCAATTGATTAATATGATTGAATTAAATTTTAATAAGTTATAGGTATATATAATTGGAGCTAAAGATATTA